GTGGCAGCAGAGGCTAGAAAAGGGGGTGCTAAGGCTAAAATTCCCTTACTACCCTCCCCCTCAATCACAGTCCTAGAAGCAGCTGCTCTGTGTGGTCACTGTGGCCCCTGCGGAGAGATGCAGATTAGACAGCAAGAAGGACTTCCTTCCTGAGGGTGGTTTGAGGGTCTTTTGAGGGAGTATCACTGCCCAGAATAGGTAACCCCTACCTTTGGGGGTGTCAGGATGGCAGGAGGCCCCTTGGGACACCCAGCCAATAGGGGGTGAGGACCCAAGACTGGGGGAGGGGAAGTGGTGGGAAACGGTGACCTCATCTCTGGACCATGGCTCTCCCTCACCTCTCATGCCCTCTCTCTTCCTTCCTTGGAGCTGAGTGTTGACTTTCAGCACCTCTTAGTCAGTTCACTCCTGAAATCTGCACCCCCGGCACCCCCAGGAGAAGGTGATGGGCTTCCTCTGTCACCACGTTAGATGGGAAGACAGACATGGCTGCTTTGGTTTGCCCCATGGAAACTGACCCCCCCCCACCCCGCGCTGGCCCCTGACATTGGGAGCAGCTGTTGCCTAATCCCAGGGTCTCCTGCCCCTCTCAGGCCACCCTACTCCTCTAGGTGCAGGTCTCTGGCTCCTCTGGGCTGTGACCCTGGGGTGACTCTAGCTCTCTGAATCCACAGGATGGCCATGCACTGAAGTGGCTTATTGCCCGCTTTCGCACCCTAGACAGGTGTCAGCTTGGGAGAGGGGAGGTGGCAGGAGAGACCAAAATGGTCAATGGTGGCTGCTCTGGGGTGTTGAGGGGGGCAGCTGGGCTCAGGAAGGCTCACACTCTGTTAGGCCAAGAACAGACAAGGTCTCTCTTCTTCTAGATACTTCTCTCTGCATCTGGGTGGGGTGGGATCCCCAACTCCTACTGGTGATCCCGTGAGCCACTGGGACGGGGGCTGCCGGCATGTGCCCCCCTCCCCGGCACCCCAAGATGGGAGAGAACTTGTCCTACTCACCTGCCTCTCTTTTCGACTCTGAGCCTCAGTTTCCCCATTTGTAAAGCCTCATGGGGTTGTTGTGAGGGTTAATGGAGAGGATGTTCATACAGTGCCCAGAAGGCAATGGGCACTCGCTGCGGGCAGTTCTTTCTCCATACCCACCTGCCTTTCTCTGGTGGCAGAAATAGGCAGATACAACCCGGCCTTCCCATTACGCCCGCTTCAGAGACAGCTGCGAGGTGCCTGCAGAGGACCTTTGAGATTAGTCCAGCCCAATCCTCCGTCTGCAAAGACGGAAAACTGAAGCCCAGAGGGACAGGGGCTAGCCCAAGCTTGGCCAGCCAGCCAGGCTCCCGCTCAGAGGCAGGGCCTGGGACCTGGCTGGGAAAGGTGGGAGGGCAGATGTTGGCAGACGCTGGGGAAAATACCAGAGTGTAATTGGGCTCATTAAGGATTTAGTGAGGGAGCCCTTCATGCCCTGCCAAAGGCCAGGGACAGGCCTAGAACCTTCCTCTCCCGTTAACCCTCTGGCAAAAACAGCTTTTTCCTGAGGACCCCCTTCCCCAGGCTGCAGCTGAAACAACTCCCCGCTCTGCACTTTATGGCTTCCAAGGTCCCTTTCCATCCAGCCCTCTGTGGGGAGGCAGGTCAAGAGCTTCCCACTGAAAGCCAAGCCCTGAGGTCCATTCATCACTCAGCGAGAGTGGTGGAGATGGAGCCCTGGGGTCCTGCCTGAGTGTTCCCTCCACTCCCCACCCCCTCCAGCTCCATATGGATGGACAGACAGACAGTCATATAGCAACCCTAGCCTCCATCAGCTCCCCAGCTCTGGTGTGAGCCTGCCTTTTAGAGGGTGGCCCCCTCCACCATCCAGCTCCTCCTCCCTGCTGTGGCCCTTAGCTGTCTCTCAGGGAAGGTGGGAGCAGGGGAGCTAACCCCCTTACTGTGCAAATCAGACAGACAGACACCTGGGATCACACAGGCACTTTTTCTCTGCTTTTACTTGGTCTTTTCCAGAACTCTGTTTGGGTTCAGTTCTCCCCCTTTCTTCACATTCCCCTCTCCCAGCCTCCCTGGCTCTGGCCCCCTCCTGCCAAGGTGTGGCACCTCCCTGCCTGACACTCCAGCCTGTTAGGGGCTGGGCACCCCCAAGTGTCCCCAGGAGTCCTTCCCAGAATTTGTAACCACCCCCTGCCCCTCCCAGAAGCTCAAAAGAGGGCTTGGCAGGCTATTAGGAGAGGTGGGATAGGGCAGTGGCTAAGGACTTGGGCTCCAGGGTCAGACAAGTGTAGGTTCTGGTCTGGCTGTGAAACTTCTCAACACCCATTCTCGAATCAATAAGGTGGGATAAAAGGTTAATAATAGTGTCCAACTCATGGGGTTGTGCAGCCTAAAAGAGATCCTATGTGCAAAGCACCTGGCACATAGTAAGCCCTCAATAAATAGGGTTGTAATTAGAAAGAGGTGGCCTGGGTAGCTGGGTAAAGAAGGAGGCAAGGAAGCTTCTAGAAACAGCTCTTCATTGTCTTTTCATTTACTTTGTCTTTTAAATTATTATTTTTTAATATTTATTTTTGAGAGAGAGACAGAGCATGAGCGGGGGAGGGGCAGAGAGAGAGGGAGACAGAGAATCCGAAGCAAGCTCCAGGCTCTGAGCTGTCAGCACAGAGCCCGATGTGGGGCTTGAACCTACAAGCTGTGAGATCATGACCTGAGCCAAAGTCAGATGGCTGAGACACCCAGGTGCCCCTGTCTTTTCATGTAATTTAAAACAAGCCCACTCCCCTCGCGTGGGACTCAGTTTCCTCTTCTGTTAAAGAGAACGTGTGAACCAGATTGTGTCCTGGTGTAGGTCCGGCTAGGGTGAGTTGTGCTGCTTCTTATAGGGGCCAGGGCAGAGGATGCAGGCCTGCTGGTGCTCACGGCGGGGGTTAGGCCGATGTGTGCATGCCCACCCCCCCCCCCAGCTTTTCTGGCTGGGAGTCAGAGCTTAGCTGGAGCAGGGTGGCTCCTGAGGGGACAGCTGGGAAGGCTGGGTCAAGCAGGGCAGGCCGCAGCAGGCCAGCAGCCTGGCTGGGGGAACACAATTAGCCCCGGAATCCAGGCAGGCCCTGTGAGCCCAGAGGCTGTATATCACAGGGGTTTAATCAGCCCCATGGCACATATTTGTCTGCTCTCTTGGGCTGTGTCCTCTGACTGTCATAAATTGCACCGAGACTTCAAAACCCCCTGTCTCCTAACTGATGGGGCAGGTCATTGTCCTAGGCATGGCCAGGAAGATCTCGTTCCCCTGAAGCCTCTTCCCCCCAGCAGGTTGGACCCCCCCCCCCTTTACAAAACACTTGCACCTGGTACTCTCTTCCTGTGCCTTCCTCCTGCTGGGAGGTGGGAGGAGGCGGGGAGACTTGGGCCGCAGCCACATAACTCTGACGACCTCCACCTAGAGGTATGAGAGAGAGCAGAATGCAGGTGGGGACTCAGTGCTGTGTAAGAGCGGGTCACTCACAAGGTGATGGGAGTAACCTTCCAGTGTGCCCCCTGTGGGCAGAACTGTGCTCTGAACACCAGACAGTGCCCAGGAGGTTTGGTGTGGTTTAGGGTGGGGAGGCAGCCTGGTATCCCCAGAAAGTGTTGAGGAGTGGGGTCCTGCCTATAGGGAGGGGTATGGAGTCCTAGCTCTTAGCTTCCAGCTCGATGTTCACTGCGCCACCTGGAGCCTTGCGCTGGTACTGCACCCCAGCCACACCACCAGGCTTTTGGGACAGCTGCCCTCAAAACACCAGCCACCTACCAAAATCCAAGAGTCAGACCTTCCCTGTCTTGGTTTCCCAGCACTACTGCCACAAAGTACCACGCACCAGGTTGCCCAAACAACAGAAATGCATTGCCTCGCGGTCCTGGAAGCTAGAGGTCCAAAACCAAGGTGTTGTCAGTGTCGGTTCCTTCCGAGGGCAGCGAGGAAGTCACAGACCCCTGACCTCAGGAATTCTCTGTCCCCACAATGGAGGCTCAGGCCCTGCCCTCAGGAAGCCCCCAGTATGCAGCACAGACGGAGAGCATGTGCACCGAAGTAGGAAGGAAGTGAAATTAACACAGTTCAGTGTGACAAAGGGGGTCGGCCACCCCAGAACAGAGCCAGTTAGAGGCTGAGGAGTCAGGCAGACAGATTTCAGAGACATGAGTTGGAAAGGGAAGACCATGTGTGACAGATGAGAGGCATGGAGGGGTGGGGTGTGTATATGAGAGAGAAAGAGGGAGGGAGGGAGGGAGGAGAGGCTGTGTTCTGCAGACACAGGCAGCAGGGCCCAGGTTGCTACTGAAAATATCAACTGTTGCTACGGTCCTGGGCAGCCAACACAGCAAGGGACATCTGGAGCCACGTGGGGCCGGGGTGGGGATGGCTTCACACACTGTCAATGTTTGTGAATGTCACCCGGCTGGGCACTGGGCACAGGGAGGTAGGGTTTCTGCAGTCACTCCTCTGGTTAGCGGCTGCAGCAAGCGCCACATGCCTGCCTGCCTCAGGACTGTCAGCGCCTGCTGTGGGGCCCAGAATAGGGCCCTGGCTTCCGCACATGTGACTCCCCTAACCCCACTGCCGCCTCTCCCTCAGTGCCCACCCTGTCTGCTTTCCAGGTCTTCCTCCTTGAGCTTGGCTCTGCGGCCGAGTCCCCAGCTGTCAGCCTCTTGGTGTGTAGGCATTCGTGACATTCTTCCAGATAGTCCTGTATTTTTAAAAAATTTTTTTAAATGTTTATTTTTGAGAGAGACACACGCACGCGCGCGCGCACACACACACACACACGGTGTTAGTGGGGGAGGGGCAGAGAGGCAGAGAGAAGGAGACACAGAATCCGAAGCAGGCTCCAGGCTCCAAGCTGTCGGCACAGAGCCTCACACGGGGCTCAAACTCACAAACCGTGAGATCATGACTTGAGCCGAAGTCGGACGCTTAACCGACTGAACACCCAGGCGCCCCCCAGATAGTCCTGTATTTTAATACTGCTTTGTCTGAAATGGACCCCATTTTGCTCCCTTTTGCCACCCTTGGGTTGGGGATGCCCAAAAGCTGGGGAGTTTCATCTGGGACACGGGGCTCAGGTATCTCCGGGTCTTGAACTCCTCTTGCCCCTTCTGTGTATTCACAACACGCAGCCTTGGCTGACGTGTCTCCCTCTCTATCTGCTCAGGTATGAAGCGGCCACTGAGCCCATTTCCCCCAAGTGAGAAGGAGCTGCCCACATCTGGAGCTACTGAGTGCCCACCTCGGCCCCCAGAACTGCCTAAGCCCAAGCGGGAAAGAAAACGGCCGTCTTACACGCTCTGTGATGTCTGCAACATCCAGCTGAATTCGGCTGCCCAGGCCCAGGTGCACTGCGGGGGGCGCGCCCACCAGAGGCGGCTGCGGCAGCTCAGCTTGGGAAAGACCCCGGCCGGGCCAGGTCAGTGTGGAGGGGCGCTGCTCCCACAGCCTCCGTCTGGGCCCCAGGATCTGTGGCCTCTCTCTGTGGGGTCTTAGGTCCGGAATACTCTCAAGGGGGTCTCGGGGTGTGAAGTCCCCCTGATACCATACAGTTTTATGTTGCATCTGGACACCCCTCTGTGGGGCCTCCCAGGATTTCGAGGGTCTTTAGGGCTGAGGACTTCTCTTGAGGTCTTTTTGGGGTCTGGGAGCTCTCCCTGGAGAGACTTCTGGTGCCAGGACCCCAAAGCAGCATTTCTCCGATCCGGAGCCCCCTGGCAGGGATAGGCTGTCTGGCAAGGGCCTCACCTGCAGGGCGTCCTGGGGCCCTGAAGGCTGGGCTCCGCTGTGCAGCACTCCAGCTGAGGCACAGGCAAGGGAAGCCTCTCTTCCTTTGGCCACTGGACTCCTGGCCGGGATTTCTGCCTCTCCCTGGCTGGGGTGACTTTGCCGAGGTTTGGCTCTAAGCACGGAAGGGGCCGCTGGCTACAAGGCAGATTTCTGGGGGAAATGGGTGAATGAGTCGGTGAGGGTGATTCCAGCTGACAGGCACATAGTAGCCGTGGGGGCAGCAAGGAGAGGCAGACTGCTGGCTGACAGGGGAGGAAGGTTCAGAACCAGGCTCAGTGTGGGAGGTGGGAAGGGCCAGAACTTTTGCCTGGTTCTTGGAGGCAGCACCAGAAACCCACCTTGCAGCCCAGGTTGGCAGCTTTGCCAGAGAGCCGTAACAAGCCTGCCGGTGCTTACATTTTTATTTATTCCTTTTCATTTTATCTATTTATCATATATATATATATATATTTTAACATTCATTTATTTTTGAGGGACAGAGACAGACAGATCATGAGCAGGGGAGGGGCAGAGAGAGGGACACACAGAGGCTCTGAGCTGTCAGTACAGAGCCCGATGTGGGGCTCAAACCTACGAACTGTGAGATCATGACCTGGGCCGAAGTTGGACGCTCAACCGAGCCACCCAGGTGCCCCTCCTTTTCATTTTAGAGATAGAGAAAAAGCGTAAGTAGGGGAGAGAGATAGAGGGAGAGTGAAAGAGAATTTTAATTAGGCTCCACATTCAGTGTGGAGCCCGACACGGGACTCGATCTCATGACTGTGAGATCATGACCTAAGCTGAAGTCAAAAATCAGATGCTTAACACAGCAGATGAGTGTTGTGAGTGCCACATGTGGATATAAAGGAGAAAGGGTACTTATACCTGGGAACACCAGGAAAGGCGTCTTGAAGGAAGGGGGACATGCTGAACTTTGGAACAGGCGCACGGGAAGGAGGGACAGTGCAGGCAGAGGTCACTGCATAAAGCAAAGGCAGGGAATGGTCTGACGGCTGGTACTGCTGTCCACCTGAGCGCTCAGGGCTGGACACCAACGGTGTGACTCTGAGTAAGAATGTATCTGACTGTATGAATGTTTCCCGAGTGTGTGTGTGTATATATATTTGTCTGAGTTCAAAAGTCACTCATTAATTCATTAGATATTTATAGAAACTATGTGCAAGCTGATGTTTGGAGGACACTTTTATCCAGCTTTACTGAAGTATTATTGTCATATAACATGTAAGTGTAAGGTGCACAATGTGATGACTTGATATACACATTGCCAAACAATTGCACATATCTGCAATAAGGATAGTTAACACCTCCATCCCCTTGCATCTTATGTCTGTGTATGTGTTGATAACATTTTTAATGTTTACTTATTTTTGAGAGAGAGAATGTGAGCAGGGGATGGGCAGAGAGAGAGAAAGGGAGACAGAGGATACAAAGTAGGCTCCCCACTGAGAGCACAGAGCCCGACGCAGGGCTCGAACTCATGAACTGTGAGATCATGACCTGAGCCGAATTTGGGCACTTAACTAACTGAGCCACCCAGGCGCCCCTGTGTTGATGATATTTAACATCTTCTCTCACCTTAAGTATCTCAGACAGTATTGTTAATTACAGTCACCACGCAGAGCATTAGATGCCCAGATCTTATTTATCTTAAAGCTGGGAATTTGTACCCTTTGACCAATATCTCCCCATTTTTCTGACCCGTCAGCCCCTAACAACCATCATTGTAATTTCTATTCTGTGAGACTGGTTTTTTAATTTTTTTGAATTAATTTATGTATTTTGAGAGAGAGAGAAAGGGTGCACAGGGGAGGGGCAGAGAGAGAGAGAGAGAGAGAGAGAGCGCGAGGGAGAGCGAGAATCCCGAGCAGGCTTCATGCTATCAGTGTGGAGCCCAATGTGGGGCTCGAACCCATGAACTGTGAGATCATGACCTGACCGAAGATCAAGATCCAGATGCTTAACTGACAGAGGTGCCTGGGCACAGTCTGAAGACTGGCTTTTTTAGATTTTGCATGTAATTGAGAACATACAGTATATGCCTGGGAATTCACATTTTTCAAAGGTGGCATACCTGCCTGTCAAAAAAGAGTTGTCTGAATCCACATAGAGACTAGTTTGTCCAAGAGAATAACAGTCTTCAAAGAGGTGGGTGTACGGAGCCTGGAGAAGTCAGAGGGAGAAGTGAGTGGACAGAAGTCAGGGAAAACTTCAGAGAAGTGACATTGACATTGCATCTTAGAGACCCACAAGGGATCCCAGGCAGAGAAACAGCTAGAACAAGTGCTGGGAGGTCTGAGGCCTATGGCCGTCCAGGAGCCACTGAAAGTGCTGGCCATGTGGCCAGTGTGGCAGAAGGTCAGCAGAAACCCCTGTGAGGGCCTCACAGCCAGGCTGCATGTCTAGCCTTTGTCCCCAAGGTGATGGGTGTCACCGAAGGGCTTGGAGCAGAAGTAGTTAGTGTTTTTAGACATCTCAGGCAAGGTGGAAGGATAAAACTTGGGGGTACACGAGAAGGAAGGGGGTGGGTTGAGGGAAACAGATTCTGGGGTCTTTTCTGTAGCAGAACCAGCTGGACTTGGTAGCTGAGGGACGTGGGAAGGGAAGGCGCCAAGGATGACCCCAGCTTAGGTGGTGCTGTGCTGGCCAGTTCCACCATCAGAAGGGGGCACCAAGGAGGAGGCAGTGCTGGGTGGGGGAGGCCAGTCCTGCGTGGCTGCCCCCTGGCATGGCCTCTTCAGGCCCCACGGTACAAACCTCCCTCTTTCCCTTCCTGCCCACCGTGCCCACTTGGAGACAGCAGGTGGAGTGTGAGAAAAAAGGCCACAGCGCCACATGGGGCCAGAGGCAGACTGCCCAAGGAAATGGGGACCCCTTTGATTGGCTTCCCTCTTCCCACAATCCTCATCCCCCGAGTTCTCGAGTTCTCGGTAGGATAGGATTGGGGGTTGGGACAGCAGGAAATATGATACCTGGTACTCCTCTCCAGTTATTCAATGGGAAGCGAGACACTGTCCCTCCGGTCATCCGTCTGCGCTGGCCCATGCCGGGATTCTGCATGGAGAGGTGCTTGGTGCCTGTCCTTGGGCAGAAACAGTCTAGAGGGGGAGACAGCCATGGGGCCAGACCTTTCTCATGGCCTTGTGGAGGGAGTGAGCAGCGCGGTGGGAGTAGGCGACAGGGATGGCCATGCCTAGGGCAGGGATGAACGGTCCTCAGATTTCTGGGAACCCTGGAATGTAGGGGCTCCAGCCAAGAACCTGCTCTCCATTGGCCTCATTATTTCTGAGCCTAATTCAAGCCATGACCCCCCAACACCTACCCACCCACTCCTGTGGATCTCTGTGGTCTCCCTGGCTCTCTGAGTGCTGGGGTGGGATAGGCGGATGCCAGCAATGGCCCTGTGGGTGAGGGGTGGGGGCGAGGAGACCTCAAGCACCCTGAAGGCCTTTGCCAGCCCTTGGTGGGGACGGGGCCAGAGCAGAGACCCCTTCGAGTGCAGCTGAGTGGGGAGGCCTCAGCCTGGGAAAACCAGAGTCCCACCTAAACTTTCAAGAGGCTTGAGGCAAAGCAGAAGGAACTCTGACACCTTGCTTTGTTCCGAGATACATGAGGTCTCAGGCCTGCAGCTGGGAAGGTGCTGAAGGTGTGGGGGCGGGACAGCCGCTCTGGGAGGCTCCTGGAGCTGTCACTTTGATTAGGGGTCTGTGGGGCTGGCGGCTTGCACAGTGACAGGCCGTCGCAGGCGGTGAAGGCAGGGACCCTCTCCTGCTCATGTGCCTGAGGCCATCCTTGGGAGGGGAAAGCAGGGACTCTTCCCTCTCTGAGTCACCTCCCCATGCTTGGGTCAGAGGCGTCCTCACTCCTCCACACCTAGAGGAGCCTCGAACTCTTGGGACAGGGCACGGGATGGGGAAATGGCAGGTACCCCACACTCCCCGACTCCCTTCTCCAGGCGCCTCCACAGCTTCCCCTGCCCATGCTCTGCCCACCTGTCTCACACAGGCCAGTGGGGTCCTTTCATTCTTCAGCAATGTGTCTTTAGCCATCTTTCCCCAGCTCCTTGCCCTTCTTCCTCCAGGGTGGGGAGGGGGGGCACCAGGCACCTCTGCGCCCATGAAACTGAACTCAGTGATCCTATGGACCACCACACACACATGCACACATGCATGCACACACGCACACACCAGGCACCTCTGCCCCCATGATGCTGAACTCAGTGATCCTGTGGAACACACGCATGCACACACACACCCCCTCTAAACAATGTTAGGTGGTTCCTGAACATCTACAGAAAGGTTTGCTCAATCCTCATAGTCCCAACTGCTAGTGTGGAGGTTGGGCCGGCACAGGGAACACGTAAGCATCTACTTAGGACCTGAGCTGTCTGGAAACCTCTGCCACGTGCAGCAAGGCCTTCCCTCCTCACACAGCCAAGCCACGAGTGGATGATGACATTCAGCCCTCACTTTATTTATTTGTTTGTTTGTTTGTTTGGGAGAGAGCACGAGTGGGGGATGGGCAGAGGGAGAGAGAATCTTTTTTAAATTTTTTAATTGCTTTTTATTTATTTCTGAGAGAGAGAGAGAGAGAGAACGTGAGCAGGGGAGGGTCAGAGAGAGTGGGAGACAC